ACAGACAGACAGACACGAGGTCGTTTGCATAAGCCCGCTGGATAGCTTTTTCAAAGCAGAAGGGCGGGCTAAAAACAAGGAAGTCTAGAAAAAAAAGTGGGTAATTTTAAATGCAGGGGTAGTTTCGATCGACCGAATCGCAACCTCGTCCAACTGGGGTGTCGGAGTCCTCAGCCGGGGACGTCTCGCCCGCTCCTGGTGATGCCAGCCGATCACAACGCCAGAAGACGTGGACGGTTGCTCAGCTGTCGAATCTGCAGTTGGTTCGGAAGCTGCATCTCTTCGGGCAGGGCCGCCCTGAACCTTTAAAAAACAAATTTTTATTTTTTTAGGGCTGATATCGTAAAAATACTGTGATTTAGTGAATGTATGACAGAAAGGAAAAAGGACACAGTCGCCAAAAAATCGTTCAACAAATTTAAAGCGCATTAAATCGCGCAGAGATCGCTTAGAAATGCTTGGTTCGAAAAGCAGAACAAAGCGCCTCGTAGGTAGGCAACCAAACAGCCACCCCCACACCCCTCACACCACCTTGCCCATCCCACCTCGGCCCGCCGCGGCCCGCGCCCACCAGCCCCACTCACACTCGTGCCGAAAGAAAGAGGCATTTTGAAAGACAAGCATTTTAAAAAAGAACAAACTAAAACACGCATGCAGACGAAAAACTTTACGAACCATCGACCGTTTTTCGCTTAACGACGTTTCTGAAAAAAGATAGGATCTGAAGCTCGGTCGGACGGGGTCCCTTCGTAGAAAACGATCGTAGAAAACGATTAAAATTCAAGTTGGTGTGTTCTCGAGCACACTTGATCCAGGCGACTGTTTAAATACTTAACGAACAATTGCTAACAATAACACGTACAAGTATTTTTATATTTCGCCCGTTCAGTGTCACGGCGCGTCAAGTCCGGAACCTAACCTAAAACAACAACGCACTCTCACGCCAGACCTTTGCTTTCTCGCATTGAGAATCCGTGGGTTGTTTTTTAATGTCATGTGTTTAAAACAATAGAACTTACACTGTTATTCAAGGAATGTGACGTCACATTGGTTTCGATGTGAAACGTGTCACATTCGTTTGAATATTATGTCACATTCATTTGAACGTGACTGCACGTGAATTTATGCTCAAATAGCACCAGGTATTGGGCGATTCACGTTTAAACGAATGTGACACAACATTTAAACGAACGTGACACGATTCACAATAAAACGAATGTGACGTCACATTCGTTGAATAACAGTGACCGGAACTTTTGACCAAAAATGAAGGAGACCAGCTTTTTGGCGAGAGGTTTCTACCTTTAGACTGGCTATCTTTGCTTTCACCGCATTGTGCAAAGCATCTCC